CAAGCACCAAGTGCAGGCTGACGCCCAGCAGAAGCAGTGAGGATTGCGGAGGACGGAGGTGTGGAGATCGAGTATCGGTACGGCGGCGGCCAGGAGATACCGAAGACCCTAAGCGAGGGCGCTGTCTAGGCCTGCGAGTTCCGCAGGCAGTGCCTTGGAGGGGGGGGGACGTGCAGGTGCTGGCGGACGTGGACTTGGAGCACGAGGGGGGGATGGGAGGAGAGCGTCGCAAAACCTCGTGCTACCCAATGCTGCCTGAGCACAGAGCAACACAACGAGCATCATCACATCACACCGTGATTGTGTTCGGTCTGGTTTCGTTGAGGAGGTGGAGGCGGATAGGTGCGCGGAGGTCCTAGAGATTGACCCTCGGTGAGGGCACTGTCGAGGCCACGTTTCACACGACCCGCGCCGTTGGCACTGGCCTGAAACAGACTCTCGGTGAGTGCACTCTCGAACACCAGAGGTATCGGTACACCAGCCCCAAGGTTCTCACCAGCCTGGGCAGCCCCAATAGACGGGCAGCCCGTCGCCTAACCTTGTCAACATTCGGCGGAACAGCGCGCCATGTGTTAGGAGGATCGGGGCGACGCGTGAGGTGCGGTGTCGGGGGTGTTGGGCAGCCTTGCTCTGGTGCGCTCCTCTGTACCCTGCGGGCTTCTCCACTTGCCCGCCTCCCTTTGCACGTCTAGCTCCTGGTGCGCACGCACGGCTCGTGTAAGCATTTCGTGTTCACGCGTGTGCTTCCCTTGTTCCAGCTCGCAGGTCCCCAAGGAGGCGGCCCAAGAGGCCCCCAAGGCGGGCCCAGGAGGCCCCCAAGACGGGCACACATGGCCTTAAGAGGGCTCCAAGGCGGGCCCAAGAGGGCGAGCCCGCAGGGACCCCAGGAGCCCCACCCCACGCACCCACCCGCCCACCCACACTCAACCACGAATACACGCACACACATACACTTTTGGCGGTCGCGGCCCCGCGCGCAGCGACGAGGCGGAATACACACACGCAGGACACAAGCACGCACACACACACACACACACGCACACGCACACCACACCACACACACACAACGAACACACACACACACACACCTACACACAAACACCCACACACACACCACACACCACACACACAACCAAACACACACCTACACAAAAACACACCTACACACAGACACACACACACAAACACACACACACACACGCACACACACACACTCACTCACTCACACACACACACACATACACATACACACATACACATACACGCACGCACGCGCGCACGCACGGACGCACGCAAATGGCCCACCACAAGCCGCCAGGACCCAGGACCCATGAGAAAGTTCCAAGAGGCCACCCCCATATGCCGCCAAGGGGCCTCCAAGAGGCTCCCGCAACAAACGCGGAGGACGAGGAAGCCGCATCGGCAACAGCTGCACGACGACAGCACGACGGGAGGCGGTAAACGACACATACGAAATCGGAAGCCTCACATCTCCTCTTCGGGGGGGTCGGTGGAAGAAGCCGCGGTCACTCTGTGAAAATCCAGAGGGCGGACCGAAACTAGAAGAGAAAGAAATTGGTCGTGCACTCGTGGCCAAACTTCCCTCGGGGCAGCTCAAGCAGAAGCCAGCCGGCCAAGAAGGAGAGAAGGGGGAGGGAGAGGAGGACCGAGCGAGAGGGCGAGAGGTGAGAGACAACCACACGAACGTCTGACAAAAAAGCAAGAACTCCCATGTACGTAGACCACTCACCACGCAACCCGCTTTTCCACGCCTGTCCCCCGAAACAATGTAGCAGGAGGGGGGCAAGCAGCAGAAACACAAGCTGCAGAACCAGGCGGGCGAATCGGGCGGACGGACCCCAACCACCGCAATCGGCATCTATCCTTCGTAGGGAACCGAGCTCGATACACCGACGCCTTTGTCTGGCCTCACACTGAATCTCGCACAGGAAAGCGGATCCTGGTGTATACGGGATGCTGGTGTATACATTCTTCGTTGTTTCCCCAGGAAAACGGGGAAACTATTATACACCACGCCACCCCACTGTCGTCCCCGACCCCAGAAAAAATCCTGAGATTGAAAAACAGCCCGCCACTGGTAATGTGTATGCTCCAATTTCCGACTTCGTGCTTTGCGGGGTGCGGCCTAGTTGCGCTGGGCATACCCCACCTTTGGCCACGAATACGGACCGTAGCAGTGCCACCTGAGCTCAGCCGCGTCCCGGGAGCCATGCGGCAGAACGCGCAGCCCATCATGGTGCCGCCCCAGCTCCCTCCGTCTCCTCCCTCCTGTCCTCCCGTCTGCCCTTCCCTCACGTGGTTCCCGCCTCCCCCGTGCCTGTCTCCCCTCGCCCCTTCCGCCCAGCGCCCTCTTCCCGTCTGCTTCGGCTCTTCCTAAAAACGTCCTGGGCGTTGTTGTACCGTCTTGCACTTGAGGCGCTTGATGATTCTTTGCGTAAGCAGCAGAAGCAACGCTACGCGTGTTTAGCGTTGTTTACGC